GAAGGAGCTAGCAGAACTGAAGGGTGTAATTATACTTTAAACTTTTGCACATTGGAGATCCCAACGTCGGCGCTGGCTGCAGGCGTGCTAACGCTGATTATCAGGGCTATTAAACACAGTGACAGGTTTTAGATATATGTTGTGTTTGACCAGAAGTTTCCTCAGGTTTGACATGTTGCCCTGTCCAGCTTTGCATTTTGCATTACAAAGTGTCCTCCTGCTCTCTTTTTCTGTCTATACTCTAATTTACTCTCTCACCCAGATGCGCTGTCAGGTACCAAAATGACTCAGTTTGGTAGGTACCCATAAAAATACAGAATTTTGTACCCAGCCCTTGTAGAAATGTTTAAAGTGTTACTTTCAGTAAGCTAGCTAGCAAGGAATGCTACCACTTGTTTTCTGTTGACACAAGACACTACCCTTCAAACTCTTTGTATAGCATCTCTCTCACTAGCCCCATGCACACCGCTTCAACATGTGGAGAAAGCCAAACCTTGACAGACTTGCCATGACTAGTTGCAGTTGCTAAAGTATGGTTGGAATTACTTTCTATGTAATCCTTCCACCACTAGAGGTAAAACTGAAAATATATATATTTTTTGTAATTTGATTAAACCAATCCTTTAATATGTAGGTATGGAGCTTCACCTTGCTGTGCACACAAATTCTAACTACTAAAAGTTGTTGAGTCAACATTTTTGGGCAATGGCAACATACCTGCCCTGAACTCTGTGTGAGGTGAACCTGCTGCACTGGTGATTCTCAAGGACCCACTCCATCAGAGTCTCACGCACATGACGAAATCCTGGAGTCACTAGTGGATCAACGCAAAATCCCATTGCCTTCAACCCCCATCACTGTGGCTCATTTCACGGTCTGAATTACTTATTTTCAGATTCAGATCTTCATTCTATTTTACAGGCCAGTGTTTTATGTGTATTGCATCTGGGACTAATGTTTCTCTCCCGTGTACATAGACCAGTTAAAAAATGTATAGTAGGGTGTTGCCTGAGGGCTTCAAATGACAGACAACACAGGGAAATGTTTCTTAGTTGTGTTGAACGCTATGTGTTCTAAAGCTGAAACCGAATCTAGTGCTGACAGAAGTGTTGAGGTGAAGCAGACAATGCAGCAGCGGCTCTTTCAATGTGGTTCAAGGCTGTGTCGCCGTTGTGTACTTGAGCTGCACAATGCTTTGGCATGGGCTAGGAAGTGACACATCCCATAACCAGACTCTCCCTCTGTGGGTCAAAACAGCTCCCCTACATGGTTTAGTAAATCTATTTGTTATTCTGGAGGTGATAAAAGCTGCGGGGCAATAATGGCAATGGCAGATTTTATATAAAGAATATCACCACATGCCTCATCTCTACCTTAAATGATAATAGAGATTGTAAATTAGCAAGGGGGGGCAACTGTGTCTATCCGACAGAACTGAGATGAGATAAACACAAGTGTTTTGTTTTTTTCATGTGTGGTACCATATCCTGACAGGGGACAGACAAGACAGTGACTATCAGCAAGGAAAGGAAGGTCAGATGGGAATCCAGGTCTCACCTTTTGTTCTCTTCAGATGATCGACAAGCTGCTTAGGCAAGGTGATGACCTTTTTATTGTCTTTTTTGGTATGTTTGGTCTCCAAAATGGAAGAGCAGAGGAGATCGCACTTCCTTCACCAGCAGCACACCAAACAATGACTGTACATAACCCACCCTTGTCTTAATCAGATGGAAATAGCAGTATGATCACGTGCTTAACCCATGTTAAAACACATTGCACCCTGAAGACATCATCTTTGTTGTTACTTTAAAGAGAACATAAAACTTAATTGTGGAGGATGCCTTGTGAGCCCACACTCAGTTCCTTGGGGAGCCTGTGGATGTAGGCGGGTGCTGCCTTACCCGCCCAGGAGATGCATGACCCAGATGTTTGATGAATGGACAGGACTAGTGTAGGTGTGGTGGAGGTCAGGAGACGTTCATCAAGAGTGAACAGGAAATCAGCACCTAACTCTGAAACCTACTGGAGTCACGCAAAACAGTTTTAAGCACCTCAGCAGTGCACAGGAGGTGAAA